GTGGGTAAGTAAGAACATCAGTTCGATTAAGCGTGCACCAGTACGCAATAGACTCCCAGTGCACATTCAATTCAAACTACTTGCCTACAGATGATTTGAAGGCATACGTTTTGATTCGAATGCATGATTCATGACATTTTGATAGCAACTGATATCTGAAAATTGAGAATGGGCTGGTGATAAGCAACCGGAACAACATTCCGCACGGAAAAAAAACTCGGTTTCGAGCCTTATACAGCATGTATCAGTTACTATCAAGTCACTGTACTCTATGTAAGCTACCTCTGCAATCTTGGCAGATGTCTAATTGTAGGAGGTCGAAGTAATTCTGAAGAAGGTATACCTACTTACAGCAAAACTTCGCCTCACCCCCTAAACCATCCGAACCGATCGACCGGCGGATCACCGCCAGTAACACTAGGCGGCAAAGTCTTGGCCATGTCCAGCAGAGGGTCCTCATAACCCTCGAACAGGAGCTCCCTTGCCGGCTTAGTCACTGAGATGGAGGTACAGCTGAAGACCCATTGCCAGCAGATGCTAAGTGAAAACGCTCACCCCATAAAACGACCCGAAGCGATCGACCGGCGGAGCACCGCCCGTAACACTGGGCGGTAGAGTCTTGGCCATATCCAGGAGAGGGTCTTCATAACCCTCGAACAGGAGCTCCCTTGCCGGCTTGGTCACTGAGACGGTCTGCCCGTAGAGCTGCAGAACCATTGCCAGCAGATGCTAAGAGAAAACAGCCTGCAGAAGCTCACCCCATAGAACCATCCGAAGCGATCGACAGGCGGAGCACCCCCCGTTACACTAGGCGGTAGAGTCTTGGCCATATCCAGGAGAGGGTCTTCGTAACCATCGAACAGCAGCTCCCTTGCTGGCTTAGTCACTGAGACGGTCTGCCCGTAGAGCTGCAAACCCATGGAGAGCATGTTCTGGGTGAAGGTAGCCCAGCTTCTGGAACGGTAGACTGCTGACTGGAACAGAAAAGACACAAGTAATGAATAGGTCTATCTAGCTCAGTTATCCGCAGGGTAAAATTGTACGCATTGTGGGTTGGGTATACCCTATCCCGCAACATTCATGATATATCATGTCATGACACCTCCCACACATGCGACACGACTACGCTGTTATCCAAAGTGAATATTTGCCAGGGTACCTAAGGCAGGAAACAGTTTATTACACATATGAAGCGGTACCTACATACGAGTATATCAACTGCAGGTAGGTTTTCTAAATACTTTTCCATCTATTCTCTATAAATAGTGGGACTCTACATTCTGAATTCTATCGCCTTTTCTTTCCGAATTTTCAATCCCTGACAATCCATATTCCCTTCTGTTCTATCATTATATGGTTATTGGGTATTCAGGCCTGATTTCAAAACAGTTTTTTTGATGTATAGATATGTGTTACAGCCCTTTCATAAAGCTTTCGTCAAAGGCCAAATAGATATAGACGCGTAACCTATAGGGAGGTGTAGGGACACGATTGAATAATCCTCGCCACTCGTTAAAACTCACGTAACGAGACTTTTTAAGCGGATTCCGAATGTCACAAAAAAGTTACATGTTGTTTCAGCACTTTTTGAGTAGGTACTATACATTCACATGCTGTGTGATCCGGACTTAAAATGGCATCACTTCACCCCATTTTTACGCGTGGGTGCAAAAGGCTAAAAAGGGTTAAATCCAGGGAATGGCCAGCAGTGTTTCCTGTGCAATAAAATACTTTTAAATTGTTTTTGCTGGTTTAGTAGCTGTATAGTTACAACTTTCTGCATTTTGACAACTCTGAATTTTTTTCATACATAGCTTGCCTATCAACCGTGATCATGATTGTCGAACTTGCAACTTTTTTCTTAAGATAATTAAAGTGTCTTCTAGTCGTTACTAGGGTCACCTTTGTTTTTTACATGACTGCATAGTCCAGACCAAAAAAGTGTGTAATTTATTTATCATTAGGTACAATAGATAATTTACCACAAGGATGTAAAATATTACCTACCTGTCTGGTAGGTACCTGTTTCAAAATAAATTTGTGCAAATTATTATCAAACAAAACGTCTCTACGTAACGAGTAAGACGATTATGCAAGAAGCGATGCGCTATTTTTTACCCTTTAAAAAACCTGTTGCAGTTATTTTCCAGTTTGAAGAACATTCGATAATTATAATAGGTTTTGTGCACTTCGAAACTGGAATTTTTACAAAGACCATTTAGGTTAATTATTATAAAAAGAAACTCGCGAATTTATTACTTAATACTTATTAATTGAAGATGCACTAGCCACTCAAGGTTGATAATTAATAACAAACTTAATGTTTTTGTAAAATACGGCGACTTCTAGCCGCGAACTCGCTAGACCAGAGTCACTATAATATTGTGGCAGGTAGCAGTTTATAAGTTTCTTTTCACTGCTATAATAGACATTGACACGGGCCTCCCCTCTCTGGAGGGTATTTGCTATTCTCACACGTTTGGCAGGCGGGTGGATGAGTAAGCTTCCGGAAAGGGGATGAACTCATAGGGAACGAACGCTGCTACTATACCTACCATGGATGACCATAGACTTCGTCCCCTTGAGACTTTTACGATACCCATGGTGCTACTATTAATCCGGAATCATACATACGAATTGGCTGGTTCAAAAGGAGATGTCTACTTACCGCTGCTATAGCATTGAGGGTCGTGATCTCATCATCCAGGCTTCCATTGCTCGTCTCCTCGTCAAAGAAGTACCTTGTAAGGGTTCTATAGGCGATGGAGTTGTTATGGTTGTGCCAGGTTATGTTCACGTGCTGACGATGCTCTAGGAACCGGTACGGCCCTGGAATAAACAAGAAATCAGCCTTTTAACACAGGTAAGGTCATTTATATATGCCAAAAGGGTTGTTTGGAGGAATCTTTTCTAAATCTTTGCGATCAAAGCTCTCCTATCTTGTTTTTGGAGGCAGCGGTACATACTAAGCGATGACTGTAGTCTTTAAAGAACCTACTATGCATTCTCACCCACTAGGGCCACATTTAACTGAGGCATCGACGTAAGTATTGCGTTATCTATCTGCTGGAGATTTCACTTACCTAATGATTCTCCTTCAGACCGCTACAATCGCAATATACAAGCGTAGACGCTATAGTTATTGCTAAGTGGTAGAAATAAATAGGCGAGGTAGTGGTAGGTAAAAGAGTATGTAACGCTATTACTCTCTAATATAACATGACCTCCAGTTCTTACCTAACTGCACCAGATTTGGCACCACATCAGGGAACTCTTCAGGGTTGGTCCAGTTGTAGAGGAAGATGTCGAAGTAGAGTGGCACGGACGGCGCTCATTGATAAGTAGAGTAAGGTGAAACTACCACTCTCCAATATAATGGTACTCTTATTTACCAAGCGTCGCGGCGTCGCGTCGGCGTCGTTGTCGCTGTCAAATGACTTGTTTTTATGGGTTTGTATGGGGATACCAGAAAGACCAGGCGAGAGCGTCAACGACGCCGCCGCTTCGCCGTCACGTTGACAGCGCGCTGAGAAGCTCAGGGTTTGTATGGGATGCGGTCGGGTTTTTCTACAAGACTGCAGCGACAACGACGCCGTCAAAATTTGACGGCGTCGTTGACGCGCATCGTTGTCGCGACACTTAATTTATAAGCCTATCATTACATGACCTCCAGTTCGTACCTAACTGTACCAGATTGGGGACCACGTCTGGGAACTCGTCAGGATTGGTCCAGTTGTACAGGAAGATGTCGAAGTAGAGTGGCATGGACGACGCTCAATTGATAAAGATAGGGTAAGGTAAAACGAATACTCTCCAATATAAGATGACATTGAGATCTCACCTAACTGCACCAGATTTGGCACCACATCCGGGAATTCCTCAGGGTTGGTCCAGTTGTACAGGAAGATGTCGAAGTAGAGTGGCACGGACGGCGCTCGCCAATCCCGGAACAGTCGCGATGTGGGGGTGAGCACCATTTGCTGCAGACAAAGCGAAGAAAAAGTTTAATATTTTGAATATTTCGGGATTTTAATACTTAAAACATTAGTAAACTTTGGGATTATATTACGTTTCAAAAAATTTACTGCCTGCAAATCGACATATGAATAGAAAATTTGAATTTACATCAATTTTCAACTTATTCCGATATGTTACTAGATATAAATCTCTCCTCGGAAAATACATAATGACAGACCCTACGGCTGCGTACTTTGAATACCTATTTATCAAAATGTATCCTATTCAAGGTTGCCTACTAACCCTCAAGTCACTCCATAACTTTGTTGCCCGTTCAAAAGAGTTGAAGAGGTCAACAAACAATTCTTGGAATGCGTCACAGTCTGGAGATCCACTCGATCCTTACCCTTATTAATCCATGACGCACATGAGATGTGGCTGACCAGTCAATCAGACAATCCCTCGATGCTTATTGATCCAGTTAGATCATGTTACAAGATGTTGTAGGACAATTAAGCCGATCTGCTCGGTCGGCACATGTGACTCTAAATGCAGAATTATTAATCAATAGGTAACTAGGTACATAGTTAAGTAAGAAGTCGCCTTTCGCATTTCTTGGTCTGACTGTCTGTCATGGATACAATCAAACTTAAACGTCTTATTGCCACGGGAAAAGGATTATAGCAGTGCAACCATACGGCGGGCCGCTAGTAGTGCATTTCTAATCAAACTAAAAAGTTTATTATACCTATTAGTGATAAAATAAGGTGATAAGACTTTGGAGTTAAATGACATTTGGGAAAGAACCTCGAATATCAGTCTACCAGTTTTTTACGACTGCCCATAAAAGGAATATTCATTTCCTATTTAGAAATGTCTTCATTACAGTAGATCGTAGGGTTCCTTCTGACACATCTCTTCTTCTAGGACATCGCGTGCGCCGTCAACCTGTTGGGGGTTATTAACCGAGTGGTCTGGCTGACCTATCTTTTTTTTCCAAATTTAAATGGGGTCAAATAAAATTAGAAATAGAAAAAATGTCATGCATCGATCGGGGATCGAACCCGTTCCACATGGGTAAACGCCCCACCGCTCTGTCCCTGAGCTATCGATGCACCGATGATGCGGCCCGGGTTCGATTCTCGGTCGATGCATGACATTTTTACTATTTCTTATTTTCACTTGTGAGAATAATATGGCACTGTGAGTGCATTAAAAAAAACACTAAATGGGGTCAAATGTTTGGTTTATACCAACAAAACCTGAGTTGGTATAACAAAAGTTTATACCCGTACAACAACTCATTGCCATTCAAGGTGGTTTCGATCGGGACTCGCATTGATCAACTTGTTTAATTGTTGATCGATTGATGAACCGATGATTGATGACGTCAGTAGACGGTTGATTGATCTCGTTAACTGAAGGAACGGATTAAAAAGACCAATGTACAATGACAGTTAAAACAAACAAAACAAAACTATATTAATGTATTTAATTAATCCCACCCAAAACATAAATGTGAAAGGCTGCCAAGTTCGATAATATTGGAATGCTTCGCCTATAAAAGAAGTGAGATCTAAATAAGTAGGTACCAAGTTCCATACACAGACCTCAGTTAAAAATAGTTACAGGAATGCACACTTGATTTTTCGCAGTTTGGAAATAAGAATCTACTTTCCAAACTGCGGAAAATCAAGTGTGCATTCCTGTAACTATTTTTAACTGAGGTCTGTGTATGGAACTTGGTACCTACTTATTTAGATCTCACTTCTTTTATAGGCGAAGCATTCCAATATTATCGAACTTGGCAGCCTTTCACATTTATGTTTTGGGTGGGATTTCATTTATTTTTGTAAGGTTTATTTTCTTTTTTCTTGTGATTAAGTTAGGTAAGGAAATATCTCATTTATACTTTACTTTGACTAAATACAAACCTTCGTAACGAATTTTAGGTCGGTACGACGATTGGAAGATATAGATAATTTTTTGTTTTAGTTCCTTAGGGTATGAATTTACACCTTCATTATTTTTAAAACCGACTCACACTTGGCCATTTTCAGATTTTTTCCTTTACCTTGACCTAAAGACCTACCTCCATGCCAAATTTCAAGTCAATACGACCATTGGAAGTGGTCTAGGTTTTTGATGAGTGAGTCAGTCAGTGAGTGTATAGTAAAAATAGCGATTTTCTGACGTCAATATCTCAAGACCTACAATAGGTACATTAATGAAATTTTGTATTTTAGATAAGTAAGTAGATCTCGACAGATACTAGAAATTTCATATGCGTAGATAAAATAGATTTTGAGTTATAGGTGGGTCGAACTTGGCCCGAAATGGTTCGTGTAATATAACCCACGGCCGGTGTGTCGCTTTTTTTGCTCGAACTTGGCGGACACACTGCCGTGTGTCTAGATAAAATAAATAAATTTTGTGTCATTTCATTGTCTCTTCTCTGTTAAAAGACGTTTAAGATAATGGATGCCAGTTAGATTTTAGAACACTACAATTAATTTGATAAAACGGACAATTAGATTGTTCAGTCAGCAATGTCACTGGGAACAAATTGACAAAGTAATAAATAACAACTTTGTGAGTGACCCCAAAGAGAAATTAAAAAAAAATCAACTTCATAAAAACTCTGTATCAGTCTATTGTTTTCATTTCATTGGAAGTAGGATAGATACGTAGGTACTTTTTAGTATTTTTTTTAATCCCTCGTCCGCAGTTCATCAAAAGCCATAACCTAGACAAGGGCTTCCTCAAACGACGACGGGAAGAACGTATTTGCCAAGAATTTGCCCCTGCTGGTATATTTGGAGTGATGCTATTCGAAGCCGGCATCAAATGGCAATGTAGGCGAGTCGGTTAGATAAACAAAAAAAAATCTTAAAGAGCCCTTAGCACGCAGCATAACAGGCACGTTGTGAATTGTTTTGTATGTACAATGTTACGTGTTGTGACGTAGGTACGTGACTGATCACGTAATCGCTTTTTTTTTACGGAAACAATAGGAAATAGCTTGAACTTGGCTAGAACGTATATTGTAGTTTTTGACATCAAGTTATATTAATAAGGTCATAATTGTATTTTTTAGGGTTTCGTAGTCTACTAGAAACCCTTATCATTTCGGTAAGTCTGTCTGTCTGTATGCCGCGCCCTCATAACTTCGTCAGTTTTGGAGCTATCAACATGAAAGGTGTAAAGATAGATCGTGTTGACCCAAATTCAGAAATGTTGAGAAAAAAATATTTTAATTGTTTTATGGACCCCCTTCCCATACATGTGAAAGGGGGGGCAAAAAAAAATTTATATCCCGTAATATTGAGTAGGGTATCGTTGAATAGGTCTTTTAAAACTAAGGGGAGAATTCTTTGAAACAAAGTCTCTAAAATGTTTCTGTCTCGAGATATTTGCTTTTAAAATGGGCGTTTTTGAGCCATAATTTGTTCCAGCTGTAACTTCTAAAGTATGCATGCTAAAAAATTTTAAAAAAAATATGGAATATAGTTCTTAATATGAAGTTACCATGAAAACTATAACGAATACTGTACCACTTAAGATTAAGGAAATATTAAAGTTTTTCAATTTGCGGTTGGTAACCATACACCTGCAAACAAACCAGCAACAAAATTAACTTTGTAACGCTGAAAGGCCTGATATTTAAACGTTGACTACGAAACCCTATTTGTGAGCGTGTCCGACACGCTCTTGGCCGCTTTTTTTATTTGTGTTGTTCTTGTTTTACGTATTGTTTTTATGATTATCAGTAAGATTGATAAGATACGTTATTTAACAACATTTAAAAGTCAACTTTATATTAATGAAGGGGAATCAGTAAAAATCAAATGAAAACATTGAAAACAAAATTTGATTTTGCCTTGCACACTTTCTTGCAAATGTTTGACGTTTGCTGTCAAACAGGATGAAAATTTACCTACTTTTTTTGGTGTTTTTTTTTTTAACTTTATATTAATTATGTTTTTATGCTGATTCTACGAATCACATCAAAATGCTCTCCGAATTTTACAACTGAAAATGAATTCCGCATTCACAAATAAGCATTCCGTAGAAAGCTACCTACGCCTGGGCTACGTGTGCTACGCCGTAGAAGGCTAGATAGTAGCAAAAGGGTAGATCTAAATTGTATTCGATAGAATGACCCCTTGCTTTTCGATTTTTTTACCACAATCTAGGGAGATAGGTTACTAATTATACATACATACATATATCACGCCTATCAACGACTGTCAACTGTCATCGTAGCGAGCGGTTGTTCAAATTAGAGCTTCCCATATGTTTATAATATTTTATTCATAATATTTAGTAAATTGAATTAAAATCGTTTTAAAAATACATCATTACATATTATAAGATAATTAAATAAGTGACAATGGCAGGAAAAGGGAAAAAAGCGGCGACAGACGCGGAACTGACAAGGTTAGTGAGCGTTATTTCAAATCTTGAAAATACCGTTATGAATATGGCAAGAAAAGTGGATGAATGTGTTACAGTAATTAAATCACAGGAACTCAAATTGATGACCCAAAGCACTGAGATAAGTTATATAAAACAATTACTGGAAAATAACTCACCTGAAGAGGGTCTGATGCACCACAAACTACATACTGTTCCATTGAAACTAATGCCACAAAATAACGTCTCACTAAACCACTCCGGCCCTTCTGGCATTGGTTATGTCCAGCACTTAGACACCAACAGCCATGACAATACCATGACGCAAAGTTTTGATACTGCGAACCACTTGGCATCACCATCAGCATCAGACACAACTCCGACCCCCAAATCGCCTACTTTTGCCTCAAAGGTTAAGACACCGCCAATTCTGGCACAAACCATACGACCCCCAACCCAGGCACCGGCACCAAGACTGCTGAGACCACGCGCAAACCCTGGAGGTCGTCACGCGGATCCAGTGGCTCCTCAGCAAGCACCGGCAAGGCAAACTCAGAACGTGTCGGAACCTCGCAGCCGTCGTGTAGACCCTCCAGCTCCTCCACAAGCACCAGCAAAGCAAACACCGAACGTAACGGACCCTTGCAGCCAACGTGTCAACGCACCAGCTCCCCTGCATGCATGCACGCCCAGCAGTCTAAAAGCTGCTGCACCACGCGTCATCAGTTGGCACATCTTCAACTTCAGCGAGGGTACCACGTCTGAAGACATTGCCCACCACACGGAGACGGTGCTCAAGATCCCAAAGTACAAATGCGAGCAGTTGAAGGTGACCATGGGAAACTACACTTCATTCCGTCTCGACGTGCCTGCAGCTGCTACATCGATTATTAAGCACCCTGGTAGCTGGCCAGAAGGAGTAACTGTCCGTAGATTTCAAACTGTCGCATCAAAAAACTCGCAGCAAAATGCGGTTCGAAAGACAAAAAAGTAGCACCACATCAACAATCACTCAAGATAATTCACCAGAATGTGCGCTCGCTCACTAGTAAAATATCGTTATTACACGTATTATTAGACACCGAACAGCCTCATATTTTAGTTCTAAGTGAAACTTGGCGCAGAAAAACGAAATGGACAAAATTAGGTTATGTGACTACACGCTCGCGAATTGCTACTGCCGAGAAAACCATGCGGCCCATGGTGGCGCTGCGATATACATACGCGAATGTATACCCTACAAACAACGCAATGACCTTGATGATTTATCTGTGCCTTATCACTGTGAATTAACGGCTATCGAACTTCTAAAGTCTAAACTTATTGTTATTTGTGTTTATAGGACAGGAAATGGAACATTTACCACATATTTAGACATCCTAGAATTACTCATTAGTAAGATAACTGACGAAAATAAAAGGTTCATTTTAATCGGTGACCAAAATGTGGATTATTTATCTGACTTATGTCCTGAACGAGAGAAAATTATAAACTTATTGGATACCTACGGGTGCAAAATGTAATTAACTTCCCCACACGGGTATGTTCTACCTGCGCAAAGGCACTTGACTTTGCTGTACTGCGAACAGCTGACTGTGATGACGTCACTGCGTCAAGTTTACCTACACCAATTAGTGATCACCTAGCTCAAGTTATCACATTAACTGCATTGAAACAACGTACCAAAAGACCAGTAAAT